GGCTTCTTGAAGAGCAGCAATAGCAGCAGACTGGAATCTAAGATCAGACTTTGATTGTTGGGCAATTTCTCTAACCAAATGTTGGAATGGTAATTTTCTTAATAAAAGCTCTGTTGAACGCTGATAAAATTTAATTTCTTGTAAAGCCTTGATCCCAGGATGAGAGTGTCTAGCAACTGGCTTCTTTTGTGAAACACCAGCAACAGCCTTCTTAGAAGAAACTGCAGCCTTTTTAGACGCCGACTTTGGAGCATAATATTTTCTTGGTTGCTTAGAAGTGGTTGGTCTTTCGGTGTTGTTACCCTTAGTTCGAGCCATTTAGAAATGATGAATTATCAGATTCATAGTGAGATTAAATCTTTTTTCGTTTTCTTAGTTAAAAAAATTAAAAAAATATGAAAAAAGGAGAGTCTTTTCTATTTATATCTTTTTTCTCTTTTTAGTTCTAATAATATCACTTCAACATTTTTAATTCTCCATCATTGAATTATTAAGTTTTTATATTTATATTATTTTTCAATAAATCATATTTTCAATGGTAAGATTTTAACTTAAAAGCTCCAACATTATTTCTTTATAATAATTGGTTTGTTCAATTTTTTTTCTCTAGAGACATTCTTGTGTTACTATTCTTCTAAATTTGTCATTTAACTTTTTTTGTTCACAGAAATTTAATAGAGATGCTAAATAAATTACCATCTATAAAATTAATTTAATATTCCTTTGCTAAATAACTTAGGTCACCTTCGTTAAAATATTTTACTTTTAAGTATTCTATCATATTATTGTTTTCTAGTTTTCATTTCATTTTCGTCTTATATACTATTAATGAAATAATAATTCTTTTATTTTGCTCTTCATTAGAGTTTTGTATAACTTTTATTAACCACTGCAAGTTATTAAAATAATAACTATGTTAAGAATCATATTGTTTGAAGGTTATAGGATAAATGATAAGGTTTTAAAGAACATATATCATTATTTAATTTTCAATAAATCAATCAATTTTTTCTATGTTTAAATTACTCTTTTTATAAATTTTAGATGATTAATTATTTTTTTCTTAAATAATAATTGTATTGTAATAAGAGACTTATAATTGAATTTGATATAATAACATTTTTCTTTTCTACATAAAATTTAGTTGTAGCCATGTTCTTTTTAACAATTCTATTTCATTTATCGTTTGTTGTTATTATCTTAAATGAAATTTTTAAACTCATTCCATTATTTTATTTAAGCTTTTTCTTAGAATCTTTATCATATCCTTCTTATTATCTTAATATGTTTTATTTGAATGGAGGTCAATATGTTTTAGCTTGCATGAAAGATGAAGAATACAGTCAGCATAAAATATACTCTTTAAACATATCTATCACAAAACAATAGCTAGAATTTGTAAAAAAGTAAGAAGAAATAATAAAAAAGCAATTAATTAAGTATTAATA